AAAAAAGAAGGTTTGTCTTCCTTAGTTAAAAGTGAGTTTTTATCATTTCTCAACCTTTTGAAAATATTTTATTCTATAATTTTATTGTTAGACCTGCGTAGAAAGGAATTTTTAAAGAATCTCCAGACAAAAACTGATAGAAACCAATTCACGTAGTTACCGTTTGATTGAGTCAATTTTTCCGATTCCACGATTCGTCCGATTCTTTTCGCTCTTCGCTGCAATGTCGCTAACCGTTCCTGATCACACTGCTCATTCGATTCTTTTCGGTCTTCAATCTACGAGAGGATAACGAGAACGAACCTCTTCGCTGATCCTCGCTAATCACTTTTGATTCACCCATCGTTTCCAATGTTTTTCATCGAGGTATTTTTCGTGAACGGTTGTGTGATATAAAAGAACTAATTATGCTCAGTGAGAGAACGGTTCTCCCCCGATTCCATACAAGTGCCCATCTTTGCCGAACAGAACGGCAAGGAAGATCTCTACAGGAACCAATATAGATATCAACATAGCTAAAGTTAATGCATAGGTGTAAGGATTTCCTTGTAAGAGATGCCATCATGGATATAGGTTTTAAGAAAAGTGGTTCAAATTTACGTTACATTAGGCAGAAAAAAAAGGCCACAGAATCCTAAGCAAGTTTCTCGTTCGATCACCAGAAAATAAACTTACGAAAAATTCCGAATGTTTTATTACTTTAACCTAACCTGAGAAGAACTAACATATTAGCAGTCATATAACACAACAGCAAGGGCTGAATTGAGCTTTTTATTTCATCATAGCATCTTGTATTAGAAAAGTGAAAGAAAAAAATATGTGTTCCGTGGACACAGTCAGACAATCAATTAATTTTAGTTGTTTAAATTTGGGAAATTTAATGTTCCAATAACACAAATCAACAGAATGTTATTCGTATTATTGTGATCTAATCTTATGATTCGCATTCTGCATATTGTTTTGATATTAATTTTAAGATAGCGTAACGGGGATGAGTTTTAAGTCAATAACTGTCTACTTTAGTTATGAATTACTCTACTTATCGTTTATTCTCTAGCTATTATTTCTAGCGTTCGCAAAGGCATCCGCATCTGGGTCAATATCACTCAAAAAAGCGAAGAGAAAAAAAGGTGCGAAAAAAGAGACACAATGAGGAAAAAAAAATGTTTATGGCGTGGACGCATTAAACTGATCAATGTTTACGTTCACTAGCAATGTTTTCCAAAATGTGCGCAATCAAAAACAATCTGAGAGAGATTATTTAGCAGCCAAAAAGTTTAGTTTTTCTTCGTGCGCTCTATGAGTTAAAATAAACCATGAGTAGTCAAAAACGTTTAGTTCCTTGCACTCGACGAGTGAACATCAGTATTAACCATACTTGCCAACCTATGACACTCAAAAATCAGGAGATTTTTTTAAGAAATCAGGAGATTTTTCACAATGTTAAAAAGACTTTTTAAATGATAAAAATATAGTTTTTAATAATGAATTTAAATATTTACTAAGTCTTAAATGCAAGCAAAACAAAAATACCTTAGACATAAAAAACATTTTTATTACTTTCATCGTTTTAAAAAAAAAAGGCACTTTAATCAGTTTTCATACAAATGTTATGGGCAGTGGCAGATTTTGCTCTCGTTAAGAAAGAAACTTCATAATTTTGTTCATAGCAATTGCCACGTAGGCCTGCTTTCGCTAATAAAAGTTTTTCTAATGTGTCATCACTAATATTAGATCTAAATTTAGTCCTCGTTTTCGCAACAACACTGAAAATCCTCTCACAACTGCATTACATGGGGAACTGTCAAGATGGCCAACATAATTCTAGAGAGTTCACTATATTTAAAATTCCATCAGCACCTTTCAATTTTCCAATTAACCTCCACTGGGTGTCAATCCTAGCTGATTTTATAACTTCATCCAAGTTTTCTAATTGTAAACTGCAAAATTGCGACTGCAAAATTGCGACATCAATATCATCATCTTTCATGACTAAACGAAGTAACACAGGAAATCTGTTCAAAAAGTACCTTATATCAAAAAAAGATGCATTTGCTAGAGCAGAAACATCAGCAACTTTAGCATGCAAAATCACTTCATCGTTAACTGGAAATTTATGTAGTGTGTAATCACATACTCGACAGAAGTAACTTCTAACATGAAGATAAAACTTATTTTTGTCTTCTGAAAGTTCTTCCACTACTTTTCTAGTTGCAGCTCCTATTACCAAATCTTCATCTTCCTTCTGATTTTCTGTTTCACCATAAATCACATCATATATAGAATTACAAGACAAAACACAGACTGGTTTTACAAACTTTGATAAAATGTCTTTAAACAGATCATAAATCATTGATTGCAAAACATGAATTAATGGAATTCTGCTTTGTATAATTGTGTTCAGAACACCGAATGATGGCAAAATGAATTGTAAAAAAAAAAGCAAAAAGCTTTGTTAAGGTCCGAAAAAAAAAAAAAAACATAAATATTCGTTCTTCACAAGATAAACTTACAGTAATCGGAAAATGTTTCGTGTGTTGAGCAATTTTTTTTTTTATTATTATTTTGAGAGAAATTTGTATCAGCTTTACGCTTATATTTTGCAGTATTATTTTCAGAACTGCCAGTTGAATTGCTGAATGATGCAGAAATTACAAAAAATTAAAATTTTTCTCATTTCAGTATTATGCAGCTGTTGGAACTGTTTCAATTTTTCCTTTCTTTTAGAATTTCTTTCAAGATAATAATAAATATCAACAATGTGTTCATCCACATTTAATGGTAAAGAATCTGCCCCTTTTTCAGCTGCTAAATTTAAGAGGTGACAGGTGCACCTCATAATCTGCAAATCTGAATTTGCCTTTCTTAAGATGCCTGCAACACCAGTTTTCAAGCCTACCATTACTGGTGCATTATCGACACCAAGCGCTAAGCAATTATCCAGAGGGACTGCATTTTATTTTAAAGTTTTAATAATTAGCTCTGCTATATTAAAGCCTGTCGAATGTCCTTCTAAAGTGGGGACAGAAAGTAAACTGCACTCAATTTCTGAAGACTCTGGATTAAAAAAAGAAACAATTGGATACAGTTTTAAATTGGTATTATTGCTTCCATCCGTAGAGAGGCAGAACGGAGCTGTTTTAATGCAATCAATAACTGAAGATTTATTTTTCAGACCCATTTCTTTTAACAATTGCACCTGTTTTGGTCCTTGCACTTAAGTATTTCTTAGCGATTTCACTATCGGGAAACATTTTTCTTAATAAAGCTGCAGCGTGATCCGATGCATTCAGTGGCAGGTTGTGCTCCAGTAAAAAGGCAGAGAACAGACATTCTGCATTAATCACTTTTTGGTCTTTTGTTTCCGAAGAAAAATTTAATTTTTCGTTTTTTCAAAACAACTCATGTTGTCCTTGTGTTTTTGTGTACGCACATGTTTGAGAACATCTGCCCTTCCACCAAGCGAAATCGAAAAATCGCAACGACAGATGGTACACCTCGCAAATTTATTACATTTCCTTGAAGAAATAATGGAAGGAAAGTCAACTACGATTTTTGAAACGTGCACGAGTATTTCACCTTTCTCGCAGACATATCAAAAGACGATAATTTCTAAAACTATTTCCTAAAGGCACGTGTACTCACACAACTCAGGACAAGATGAACGAAATAGCGAAAGAACATCCAAAGAACGGCCAACGGCCTTGAGCTTGCTTTGTGCTCATTGGCTAATATATGCCAGATGACACGCAGTGGAGCTCGATGCCCATTGAACAACTGGAGAACGACGTTTCTGGATACGTATGCTGTCAATCGCAAAGAAATTCTCATCTGATTCGCAAGGTTTCATTTTAGATATAATCTAGAGAAAATTCAGTTGCTTTCAGACGTCCAAAATCACTTTTTTTTGTTCATATAACGAAGTATTAAGCGAAGTTCCATAAAAATCGTGAGAAATATTAAGAATAAGAAAAAAGTCGGGAGAAATATATTGTAAATCGGGTTGGCGGGAGAGCGGTCGAAAATCGCGAGTCTCCCGCCTAAATCGGAAGAGTTGGCAACTCTGATTAACGTATCCAAAAAATTATCTGAGCTAGATCATTGGGGACTGAAAAGAGTATTGAAAGTTGGACAGGATACAGGCACGTTTGCTGGTCATTTTAATTTAAAGCATATTTCGTTTCTTTAAAGTACCGTTGTAGAGACATTAGGTTATTTCGAAGCATGAGTCATGAAAAATAAGCAACGCCTTCGCCGGGAATCGAACCATGGGCCTCTTGAACACGAGCCGAGCGTGCTGACCACTACACTACGAAGGCATGCTAAGAATGCGGAAGAAATACCTTATATACCCCCTTTTAAAGGCGACTGGGATTTAGGGGACCCAATCGCCAAATTGTCGTAATGGAGAATCATAATCCACCACCTTCGTTTTAGTTCAGGCTTCACTGTAGAGACATTAGTTTATTTGGAAGCAGGAGAGAAGAAGAATAAGCAACGTCTTCGCCGAAACTCGAACCACGGGCCTCTCGAATACGCGTTAAGCGTGCTGACCACTACACTACGAAGGCATGCTAAGAAGGCGGGAGAAATACCTTATACCGTGAACGCACTATTGTTCAATAATATAGATAAATTTTAGTAATGAAATAAATAAAACAATTGAAATGTTAAACTCTTTAGTTGCCTTGAACTAAAAAGCATCAGCTTTGTATAATAACTTTATTGCTATTCTAAAAGATGAAATATTTAAGAGAAAAATTGCCTGCAGCGCAGTGCGGCTAAGAACGCTATTCTACTGAAACATAAACATGAACAACTGTTGCCACTCACACAAACTTAATAGTAAATAAAGCACGTTGCCAGTAACAAGATTATTGCAAAAATCATAACATAAAATTAAGCAGTGAGGAAATAAAATATAAAGAAAAAAAAGAAATGCAAATATTAAATATGCATCCAACATTAACTCCCACCCTTGCTATTGCAATAACAATAGATCATTCCCGATGCAATGGCAATGGTAAAAGTTTTACTATAGGTCTTTTAAAATAACCATAACCATGAACAGTTTTTACTGTAACAACTCTAACATTGCCATCCTTTCCTGGATGGATTTCAGCAATGCGACCTAAAGGCCAAACACCAGGAGGCATGTTGTCCTCCTTAATTAATACAATATCACCTACAGACAAATTTGGAAGTTGTTGCTTCCATTTGTATCTTTGTTGTAAGGAATTTAAATACTCCTTATAATATCTCTTCCAAAAGCCTTGTTTCATTTGCTGTAATAACTCCCATGGTTTTAATAAAGTGGGTTTGGGAATATTAGAAAAATCCTGTTCTGGGATGCTAGTAAGAACATCCCCAGTTAAAAAATGTGATGGAGTCAAAGCATCTAAATTACCTACATCATTGTGATTAGTTTTAGATAAGGGGCGTGAATTTAACACAGCTTCAGTTTGAGTTAGTAAAGTAGTTAATTCTTCAAATGTTAACTTTGTCTCTCCTATCGTTCTTTTCAAATGAAATTTTATGATCCCTGATGCCCACAAACCACCAAAGTGGGGAGAAGCAGGTGGAATCATTTTCCATTCCATAGTATTTTCAGCCAAATATAAAATCAATTCATTGCTGTTAAGTGAAAGTAGCAAAGTTTGCAATTCGGACAATTTTCTTTTTGCGCCAACAAAGTTCGTACCATTGTCCGAAAATAAGTATCGAGGTGTACCACGCCTCGATACAAATCGCCTAAGAGCAGCAATGAAAGAATCTGCAGTTAAGTCGCTAACTACCTCAATATGGTAAGCTTTGGTAGCTAGACATACAAACAAAGCTATATAACCTTTAGTGGTCTTAAAGCAACGACCTCTGTAACATTTCAAATTACAGGACCGGCATAATCAATACCTGTGCTAAAAAATGGTCTCTCAAGTGTTACTCTTTGTTTTGGCAAGTTTCCCATTAACTGATTATTAGATGACAATTTATATCTGTGACAAACAATACATTTATGGATAAAGGACTGAATAAGTTTCTTACCATTTACAATCCAATAGCTTTGCTTTAAAATGTTAGCTAGTAAACTGGGCCCTGCATGCATATAAGTTACATGATATTGTTTAACAAGCAACAAAGCAATCCTGTGTTGACCTGGTATAATTATGGGATGCTTAGCATTGAATGACAAGTCAGAATTTTGCAGCCTACCTCCCACCCGTAAAACACCATCATCATCTAGAAAAGGAAAAAGTGAGCTTAAAACACTTTTAGGACTTAAAGATGAATTATTTTTGAGATCCTTTATATCTTTATGGAAGTGCACAAACTGGATCCATTTAATGATCAACTTCATAGCTGCTTGCCTTTCATTAGATGAAGGTACTACTGCAGGACTTTTTAACCTATTATCTTCAGAACCAAAGACCCGTTCTTTGCACCTAGAAATAAATCTTAAACAAAAAGAAATTACATTAACTATTTTAGATAAAGAAGAACAGTTCTGAAATAAATTGTCCAGAGTGTCATTAGTCAAATAAGCTGTTGTACAAAAAATTGATTTTGTCCTTTGTTCAGTTAAGACAGTTGCATCACTGTTAGTCTCATTACTGACAGAACATTGTAGAGGCCACTTTGAACTGTCGAACGCTAAGAATGATGGCCCATGCCACCATAGGGATATGTTCGGTAGAACTTTAGGATCGATTCCTCTAGAAGGAAGATCGGCAGGATTCTGTTTCGACGAAATATAGCTCCACTGTTGATAGGGAATAGCATCTAATATTTCTGAAGTCCTGTTTGCCACAAAAAGCTTCCATTTTCGAGATGAGAGCTGCTAACCAACAGAGAACAACCTTAGAGTCAGTCCAAGCGTGAAAGGAAATTTCAGTGGTGGAGAAGGCTTTACGACAGCTTTGATTAATCTGGCAAGGAGCAATGCACCTAGGAGTTCCAGTCTAGGTATGGACACTTGTTTAATGGGAGCAACTTTGGTTTTAGCAACCACCAAATTGACTTCATTTCTGTCGTGAGATGTTGGTTGAACACAGTAGATAACAGCAGCGTAAGCAGATTCTGACGCGTCACAAAAACCATGCAGATAGATGTGGTTAGACGTAGTTTGAAGCCACCTCGAAATTTTAACATTTTTGAGAGCCTTAAGATCTTCTTGAAGTCGCTGCAACTTCTCTTCCCATTCTTTAGGCAGTGGGGCATCCCAGTCAAGTTTTAAAAACCACAATTGCTGATAAAACATTTTCAACTTGACTGTACATGGTGATAGCAAGCCAAGAGGATCAAAGATTTTAGAAGATTGAGAAATGAACCTTCTTTTAGTAATTTCAGTCCCAAAATCCATAGAAATGTTAAATAAAAATACGTTCTTCTGTAGAGTTCCAAAACAGCCCTAAAGTCCTTGGCACATTCATCTGAGTGAACTTCCAGGTCATCTTCTTCATGATTATCAATGGATAAATTTTCGAGAAGCTTTGAGCAGTTTGACTCCATTTCCTTAAATTAAATCCACGTTTCTGTAATAGCTGTGAAAGCTTAGAACATAGGTCAACTGCTTCCTCTAAATTGTTTGCTCCAGATAAACAATCATCTACATAGAAATCATTTTTAAGAACGGAAGGATACATGAGGATGATCCTGTTCTGCATCCAAAGCAATTTGCCACAAACAGCGTGTTGCTAAAAATGGTGCAGATGCAGTGCCATATGTAACTGTACATAATTTATATATGTCTGCATTTTTGAATTAACAGATTCTCTCCAAAACAATTCTTTGTAAATGTTGATCCTCATTATCTACTAAAATCTGGCGGTACATTTTTTCTATGTCAGCAGAAAAAGCTATTTTATGTATACAAAAGTTGAGCAATATTGAAAATATATCTCGTTGTAGTGTTGCACCTACCCCTAAAACAGAGTTCAAAGAAACTGAATTTTTAGGTTTACATGAACCGTCAAATACTACACGAAGTTTAGTGGTAGAGCTACTTGGTTTAACAACAGCATGATGCGGTAGATAATATACTTGCTTATTTTCTTCATTCTCAACAACTGGAACCATATGATTTAAAGTTTCGTATTCTTGCATGAACTCCTATGTATTGCCTACCAAGTTCTTTATCTAAATCAAATTTTCTTTCCATGGATAGAAGACGAGAAATAGCCAAAGGTTTGGAGTCGCCTAACTCTTCAGCATTACTGAAATTGGGCAGTCGGACAACAAATCTGCCATTTCCGTTTACTCGATAATTTTCTTTAAAATGCTTCTCACAAAACTCTTCTTCAATCGTTGATTTCTGATTTTGGAACGTTAATTCTTCCAACTCCCAAAAACGCTTAAGTGTTGCATCGACGTTATCCTCAATATGTAAACTAATGCGATTAACACTAATGGGATGCGGAGTATTGCCTTCTGTTTTAATTCTGCCTGATACAACCCAACCAAAAATAGTATTTTGCGCAATTACATTTTTATAGCCAACAATCTACCCTGGCTGAAGCAGAGAAAAGAAATAGTCAGCTCCAATTATCATGTCTATTTGTTTGGGCGTACTGAAATTCGGATCTGCAAGATTAATTGAATTCAAATAATCAAGGTCCTTGCTATCAATCTTTACTGAAGGCAAATGCGAAGTTAATTTTTTAAGAATATATGCTTGTATTAAAACACCATTTTTTTTCAACTCAGATTTCGGAAACAATTTTACATTTACATAACCACGAGTCAAAGCTGCTTCAGAATCACCAAGTCCCTTTACGCAAATACGGGCATTTTGTCTGCGTATATTTAATTGTCGAATAAATGATTCACTGATGAAAGAAGCTTCACTTCCACTGTCAAAAAGAATGATACATTCGTGACCTTGACCAGCAGAATCGTAAATTATTACTGCCGCCGTTGGTAAAAATGAAGTACTCTGACCCTGAATAGAAAAACTCGAAATATTATTTTGTTCGTCTGAATTAGAAATTTGTTCATCAGATGGAGATGAATTTGACACAACTACGTTATTACTTTTAATATCTTCATGCAGTAAAGTATGGTGTTTTGCTTTGCAAATAGAACACACAATTCTGCGATGAACAAAATTTTAATTGATGATTTCCGAAACAATTGAAGCATAATAAATTCTTGCGAATGATATTTTTCCTAGTCGTAATATCTGCACCTTTAAATTTATAACACTTTGATAAAAAATGAGAACCATTGCAATGCTGACATTTTAGAACAGAATTTTTATTATTATGTGAAACATTCTTCGAAACAGAGCACTGATTTTTATGCGATACTCGCTTTTCATTATTATGAGTGTTTAACATTTCAAGTGAAACACATCTTGAGTTTAAGAATTCCAAAAAACATTCTAAGGTAGGAAATTCTTCTTCACCATTTTTTTGTGACCATAAATGGCGCGTTTCCGGATCGACTTTTTCTAACAAAAAATAAATTAGCCAAACATCTCTAGACGAAGCCTTTTCGCCAAGAGATTTTAATCCACGGATAACTTCATCAGATGTATCAGATAGTTTTCTTAGATTAACAGAATCAGCGCTAGTAATTTTTGGGTTGCTCAAGAAATGTTCTGACAAGCGACATTACAATTTGATTTTTTCTATCATAACGATTCATCAATTTGTCCCAAGCCTCATCGTATGTAGTTTCGGAAATCGGAATGTGCTTAATAATAGCAGCTGGTTCGTCTTTTAAAAGTCCTATCAAATATTGGAATTTCTGAATTTTCGCTAATGACTGATTGGTATGAACTGTCGCCATGTACAGATCTTTAAAATTAATATTTACCATTGAAACTCGGAATGTTTAAACGCGGAAGTTTAAAGCTAGCCTCAACTGCAGTGGGATTTGAAATCAAAACATTTCTGGCCGTTATGGATTCAATGGCGGATTGATACATTACTTTCGTTTCAAAATATTTAGCTTCGAATTCAGCAATTTCAGAAGCTTCTTCGGGTAAAGCAGCATCATATTGATCAAATTCTTTAAATATTTGTTTAATTCTTTCTAATCGTGCTTTTAATTCCGTTAAACTTAACTGATTACTGAAACTATTGTGAAGCCGCGTTAGGGTAGATTTCGTTCGCCCTCTTAATCTTTTAAGATCAGATTCACTTAATTCTGTCATTATTACCATGAATAATGATTAATAAGCACAAATAACTTCAACAAGATACTTAAGCAGCAAAAAATATTTCCGCTTATCTTTCTGACGTCACGCAGACGATTCGCAGTACCAGTACTTAAAAGTTCGTTAAACACAGTTCTAAAGCATATAATAATAACACATTAAATAGCATTAAATGCCTCACCTGGGAACCAAATAGTTGCCTTGAACTAAAAAGCATCAGCTTTGTATAATAACTTTATTGCTATTCTAAAAGATGAAATATTTAAGAGAAAAATTGCCTGCAGCGCAGTGCGGCTAAGAACGCTATTCTACTGAAACATAAACATGAACAACTGTTGCCACTCACACAAACTTAATAGTAAATAAAGCACGTTGCCAGTAACAAGATTATTGCAAAAATCATAACATAAAATTAAGCAGTGAGGAAATAAAATATACAAAGAAAAAAAAGAAATGCAAATATTAAATATGCATCCAACACTCTTAGAGAAAATATTCTGTTACTCTAGACATTTAAATAATTTTTTTCAATTTTTGAAATGAAATTCCTTTTAATGACTGAAATTTAAAGCATAATTTATAATTAGCTTACACTTTAATGCGAACTTCCTTTACATATGCAAAAGAACTATCTTAAGTTGCAGCATTTAGCTATAATATCA